AATTAATTCGGTAAATTACATTTAATATCATATAGGCCTAGTTCCGCAATCTCTCGCTATGAGTTGGCAACGCTCTCTCCCCTCAGATGACCTTGAACGCTCAGTATCGCTAATGTGTGGATATTCAGAAATTTCAGTGTAATTTCAAACGCCTCGCCATTGGCGATGCTGAGTTCAAGGTCGTCTGAGGGAAGACCGAGCTCCCCGCTACATGTAGCGAGAGGTTGTAGAACTAGGCCTATACGATATTAAATGTAATTTACCGAGTTAATAGGGACGCGAATCATAAAATTAGATATCAGTTATTAAATTGAAAATAATTATAGATTGTTTCCCAGTCTGAAAATGTTGCGTACGTCCTAATTAAGTTTAATCGTCTGGTAAATAAGTCACTCCCGGAAAGCGTGAACCAGTGAGCAAGGTGGCCGGGGAGCTGTGAGAGAGGTCAAGGACCACCTCTGTGCTGTACCCAGGAGAGACGGATCACGTGACCTGGTTCCTTCGTTTATTTAACATCAGTATTAACAAGTAAGTTTTATTCAATCTCAGACAAAGCTTGATAGGGCGGTAGGAACAAACGGTGATGTGAGACAATAGCTAACAGCCCGGGTTTTTCAGGGTTCTGTAGACCCCACGCGGGATGATAACGTCCACTGGCGGTATGAGACACGAGTGGTGAAGCGAGCTGTATGACCGTCCACTGACCTGGGTTTGAGCCACCTGTTGAGTATGGTGAGAGTTGGAGTGAACCCAGCTGTCGAGGTGCCCAACTAACGACGTGACGATCGTTTGGGGTCATCAACTCTCCTGTACCTCGGCTCACAATACCACATATCTTCAATCAGCTTAGTGAAACCCTTTTGCTAACGGGAAGCTAAAGCTTCTCTCAACTGTACAAGGTCTGATTGGCTCACTCCCTTCCGCTTCATGGATGTACTGGGGGTAAAGTGAAGCCAGCTGAGTGATACAGGGTCGCACACTGGGGCCAAGAGTCAGTGGAGTTTAGAGGTACACTTTCCAAGGTGGAGAAAGGCTGATTTGGGCCTTAAACTACTGGTGCCTGTTGGTTGTGCCTTAAACCACTACGGAGTGCAGGTGGAATCTGTGTGTGTGTTAGGTTAGGAAGCATGGTTCACTGGTATTGGTGGACTCAGTAACTTCTTAATAATAGTGACAATATTTTTGTGTGTAGTTAATACTATTTTTTCAGTTACTAATGTATGCTGTGTGCATTTAGTATTTCTTTATAATCTCAATCTCAGGTATAACCTTCGTTCCCCAGAGTAGTGTTTAAGTTAGGTTAGGAGGTGTGTATCTGTTGGGGTAATATAATTTTGTTGAGCGCCCTGAAGGCCTATTCAGGGTGGAGTTAATAAGCTCTGATTTTTATACCATTTTCTCAGTGCTGGATATAATTTTGGTGAGTGCCCTTAAGGCCTATTCATTGTAGAGTTATTAATTTCTTATTTTTTTAATACCATTTTCTCAGTGATTGATATTTTGTTGAAAGCCCTTAAGGCCTGGTTCATGTGTGCAAGCAACATTTCTTAATACTTTAAACTTATTATCCTCTAATGAGGCATTGCCTGAGTTTCTAATAATTTCAACATCATGTATAACTTTTATTCCCCAGAGTAGTATTTTAAGTTCAGGTTAAGAAGTGCGCATATTGGTGTACCACTATTTGATTGTGTTTGTAGTGTTGGAGGGAATATAAGTGTAAATTTTACAGTGTGTCTCATTCATCCCAGTCACAGACGCTATCCTTCCACGGGTCACGGACAATTCATTTTGTTTAGTAGATTTAAGTGTTCTTGTGCTGGTTCGGGATTTTTCTCAAAGGGGCGCTTCCACTGCAATTACCATCTAATAATCTTTAATAAACCCCAAGTCAAGTGAGAAATTAAAGTCCAGTAAATTCCGACCGGTTACATATATATATATATATATATATATATATATATATATATATATATATATATATATATATATATATATATATATATATATATATATATATATATATATATATATATATATATATATATATATATATATATATATATATATATATATATATATATATATATATATATATATATATATATATATATATATATATATATATATAATGGGACACTACACAATGAGTGTGGCTCATTCATCCCAGTCACAGATGCTATCCTTCCACGGGTCACGGACAATTCATTTTGTTTAGTAGATTTAAGTGTTCTTGTGCTGGTTCGGGATTTTCTCAAAGGGGCGCTTCCACTGCAATTACCATCTAATAATCTTCAATAAACCCCAAGTCAAATGGGAAATTAAAAGTCCAGTAAATTCCGACCAGTTACATGTGCATATATGCATATATATATGCATATATATGTATGTATGTATGTATATATGTATGTATATGTATGTATGTATATGTATGTATGTATATGTATGTATGTATATGTATGTATGTATATGTGTATATATATATATATATATATATATATATATATATATATATATATATATATATATATATATATATATATATATATATATATGCTGATAACCACAAGGAAAGAAGAAAACACGAAGTTCCCAAGCGCTTTCGTGTAATTCACATCTTCAGGGGTGAGTACAGACTAGAGAGAGAAATACAAATCAAGGTGTATATATATACAGAGGAGGGTGAGACCAGGTCCACAATGGTCAGGTATTAGGTAATGACCCTGTAGGGTTTCGTGATATAATGTTGTCTAGCACTCAGGATGGATGGAAACTCTAAGGTGGTTTTCTTATATAATATAAGTTATATGGTAGACAGTCTGGTGCTGGAGGTGCCGTGTGGTGAGGAGCTGCTCAGTAGACACATTCGGTGAGTAGCGTGTTGAAGGAGGTAGATGTGCAGGAGCTTCGTTAGAGAAGATGTTGCCTGTTGCTGGCATCCTGGTTGAATGAAAGCTGGACAG